TTTCTTAATGAATGTACAAGGAACAGCATAAATATTACCATTAAGCAGAGTGAACATCTAAAGCAAGCTACCTGGCCAATTGCTTTCTTATTTTTTATCCTTTTGTAACAATTCCGTTTCCAAAGTGCTTGATTCCTAACACTGATGCTCCAAAGCTATTGTGAGCACACTGCCTGAATACTTAATGAAGTAAACAACAAACAAAATGGCTCATCGTTGGTGCCCCTAGCTAGCATCCCAAACTGGATATAATTAAAGGTGTGAACAAGCAAGCAAGGAAGTAATGAACCTGCAAAGTCAAGGTTCTGAGAAATTATCGGGCATCCCACACTGCACCCGTTCAAATTTATCACTCATTATCTCTTATATCGTCAAGTGCAGGCCCACATGTTGGTACCCCTCTTCACTCTTGTCCTCCAGCCTTTTTTTCTTTCCACTTCTAGATGAGTAATTTATGACAATTACTGCTTGTGACAACTTCCACGCATCCACAGATCACCTATCTTTTTACCCTTAAGGAGCCACTGATCTATAATAGCCCTCCACCCTTAAAATACATGGAGGTTTAAAAAATAAGAGGATGTTTCTAAAGCACACGCATCTACACACAAACTCACAAAACAACGCACACACTGCTAACACAGCCACCCTACCTCCTACTTGTTTTTACCAATGGTTAAAGATTAGGCTCAAATGCTCCCAAAGAAAAAAAACAACTCTCCTTCCACATATACACACATTTTATTTCGAGCCTAACCCTTTGCTTGAGAGAGCAGCTTTGAACTCACAAATATTGTGATAGATCTGTACTTTTATAGTTTCTCAAGTGGCAACTAAAGAAAGGTGTTTGGTTATGAATGCAGGTCTTGCAGGGTCTGGATCTATCTTTTTTTTTTTTTTTTAATTAAGTTTTGTATTTTTCTAATAAGAAAACTCCTGGAGTTTATGAGGAGGAGAAGCCACTTCTTATGGGAAGCCAGCCGAGTTTGGTTTTCTTTCCCTTTTTAGATGCACATATACTTGCAAGTATGTATACACATTTGGTAATCAAATAAGGAAAACCTAAGACAGGTGCAGGATTCCAGAAACACACATACTTACAAAGATACACACACACACACACACACACACACACACACACAGAGTCTCCCTCTGTCACATACACATACTTTCCACATATCCATCAAATGGATGGAAGAACAGACAGCGGAAAATAAAAGGTTGACTTCGCTTTTAAAAGGAGAATTGGCGAATTCTGTACAACATGGTCCATCTACTGGAAGATAGTAAGATAAAAGCTTGAGAATGTTTGTGTCTCTTCATACCCTCCCAAATTCCTAATGACATTGGGAAAAAATACTGCATTGCAGCATTCGCCAGCGCACACTCATGTGTCTAGCATCCGCTGGCCAGTTCACCAACAAATGTACATATTAAGTGTCCAGGCATATAAATTAAGAGCCTGGTGGCCACAGATCACTGGAACTGATGAAGAAATTTGTCAAGGCCAAAGTACTTCTGTCCACATACAATGACCTCTATCAAGACCGCCATTCCTTATTTGCGGTACACACAATTTGTTTCGTTGGTTTTTTTTGTTTTTTGTTTTTGTTTTTTTTTTTTTTTAAAATAGGGCATTAAGATGCCAACGGCTAAGTGAAGCAGCATATATCCTCATGGAAGGAATAGTATTTGGTCTACATATAGGAAAAGAATCGACCCACAAAAAGAAATAAGTGCAAAGGGGAGAAATCAAACCAAAGAAAGGACTTGCCCTGAGGAAAGCCTTTCATTGTTAGTGGTAATTCTTAATTGAGAAAAACACCTTGATTCACCCACAAATTCTTTTAGAGATACTGAACACACACACAAAGCACTATTCAGGCAAAGATTTCTGATTCAAAATGTCAAATAGATTATTCCCAACAGAAATACTAAGTTTCAAATACCTGAAGTCTACCACGTCTCAAACCCTTTTTTAAGACTGAGTTAAGAACTAAAACGCAAATGCGGAGTTCATTTTCTTTCTCTTAACTTAAAAAAAATTCTATTGTTATTAGCTCACAACAATCTGGCCTTCGTCTCATCACAAAATCTTTGAATATTCAAAGGACCCAGGAAGGGCTATCGGGAGAGAAAAAAGTTTTAAGTCTTTGGAAAACTATCAAACAGAAGGAAGCTCATCTATATCTGGCCAGGAGGATGACTTGAATGAATGGCAGTTAGAAATGAATGGGACTACAAAAATGAGTGGTTAAGTTGCTTCTTAGGCTTTTTTTTTCTGAGATATTAAAATTATAAGTCAGTGATTCTCAAAGCAATTTCTCAGTCATTTCCCTATCTATGTCCATTTTATCTTTTTAAAAAATGTAAATATTAAACGATGTGGCCATGATGTTACAATGACATATACAGACATTCTGATCATAAAACTGTGATGTAGTGAGATGATCTTTCCAGAAATATTTCCAATCAGATTTTCATTTCTTAATAAATGCACACTCAGCTTTGTGCTTCCACAAAGGCACACCTCCACATACAGGTAGTAGGCATTAATATTTTTAAGACAAAGAAGCAAGAAAGGTCAGCAGTAGAACTACGTGTCTTTTTTACAACCCAAGACAAGATGACAGTTCTTATGGAAATTATTTCCCCCTAACTAAATAATGCTAGAAATTTCTTAGGAAAAAAAAAACTATCCTAATTTTTAAGAGATATATGGTTATGCAAAAATTCAAGTGTATGACCTATGACAAAAAAATAAGTTTACTTATTTTTACCTCAAGAGTCAAAACAAATTTTAAAAATCCCCCCAAAAGAAGAGAAAACAAAAAGAAACCCCTTGCAAGAAAAAAAGAAGGGGGAGGTAAGTGCAGAGATTTGCAATGGAGAGAGTAAAAATTAAGAGTACTTTCTGTAAAGCCAATATATATTTCCTAACTTTTTAACATATTTCAGTATTTTTTAATCTCTTATTTTGGGGGTTAATATTAGCTATCTGATCAAAAATGTAATTTGGAACAAGTCATAACAGATCATGGTTTTTATGTTACTGCCTATTCGCCTAAGCACTATACCTTTCAGTCCTTCTGGTACCACCATCATGAGAAAAAGACTACTAGTAAAGCACACTCAGAGAAAAAGGGAAAGATGCCTGTCACCCAGCACATGCACGGGTCTTAGATGTTCAGAGACACTGGGGGAAAAAAAAAAAAGGAAAAAAAAAAGGAAAGAAAGAAAGAAAGAAATCAGCTTTTCACTCAGTTTATGCTAAGACCAGACCCAGGACCAAATGCCTTGCAGTTCCTACAAGGGTGCAGCCTGATGGACCTTGGGGTTGGAGGTACAGAGGGGAAAACGAAGATAAAGGCCAGAATACAGTTTTTCATTTATTATTTTTTAAAAGTAATTTCTACTTGGGATATAAAATGAGAGATACAATGAACTCCCTAGAATTGCAGTATCAACATCTGATTTAGTAAAAACACCAATATTACCTAGCACAAAATCATTGCTTTAGGGTAAATCTATTCTACCTATATTTCTCCAATGGATATTTGCTAGAAATTTCTAAGAAATCATTTGCAGAACCTATCAGCTGTGGGAGTTCACTATTATGCTTCCGTCAACTTCATTCAATATAATTTACATTTTTTTTCAAATGGCCTCACAGGATTCCTTGCGATTTTTCGCACGTACAATTTCACAGCAGGGAAAAGGGGGAAAGAGAGAGAGAGAGAGAGAGAGAGGAAAAAAAAAAAAAGCAAGATTCCCTACCCTCCCTTCCCCCTCTTCTTCTTTTCTCTCTCTCCCTCTCTCTGTTTTTAAACCAAAAAAAAAAAAGAGAGAACAGATGCTTAAAAATAGATTTCTAAAAATCACTGTAAACCAGAGTTAGAAATGTAATTAACACCTATTTATAAGGAATAATTAAAGTTGGGCCGGCCACAAAGAACAGCAAAGATAATCGAGGTCCCGTCCTCCCCCCCCTTTTTTACACTGTTTGCAGTGTGTTCTCATGATAGCCACCTGCTCCCTACTCGGCTTTTCCTCTGTTCGTTTCCCCGGCAACCTTTCATTGGGTTTTCCTCCCAGCTATCGCTTTCAGTTGGGCTGCTCGGTCTAATCTTATTTGTTTTACACCCATCAAAACAAGCAGCCAGACAAAGGCAATCCTCTAAGAATGGGAAAAAGACCACAGCTTTGTTATAACATCTATGCAGAGCAAAAAGTCCTCCCCAGGCTTTCCTAGCAAAAAATAAGTGAGATGGATATGAATTTACAGCCTCCCCACATACCCGGCTTTGAAACCCGGTGAAAGCTATTGCTGGTGAAATTCAAAGTCAAAGTGGGCACTCGTGGCATCTGATTGTGCCATTTTGTGCCATATCTTCAGGGTCAACACCAGGCAACAGGAGCGGCAGTCAAGGAGTTTCCCTGCTTCTTTTTTTTTTTTTTCTTTCCAAAAAAGATGATGCTAAAAATAGATTTACTACTTTGGCAGAAAGGTTTTCCACTTCCCCTTCCACATCCCGAAGTCCTGTTTCACAATTGCATCTGCTGGTACTGAGCCTCACCTCCTCCACCCCTCGTACCCAGCCTTCCCCATCACTCCTAGCAGGAGACTGAAAAAGAAATGTGCCTTTAACTTTAACAGTCATGTAATTCTGTTGAAAGCTCACAGAGGCGGTGGACACGCCAGCCAACAGCGACGGTGACATTGTGATTGTCAAAAAAGACACCAACCTTGCTTGGCTAAATGTGTGTTCGATGGAAGAGGCAATGTGTGTGCCTTGTGTGCATGCAGTGCCATTACACTTGGAGATGGATTCTGGCTTTCAGAAGAGAGAAATACTAATAAACACACACATACACACACACATGATCTGCACAGTGATTTACGATGCACAGTCCATCATCCTTCACACACACACACACACACACACACACACACACACGGCTGGAATCTCCAAGCTGCCTTCCTCTGAATTTTCACTTACCATCTTCAAGCCATTCCACTCCATCTGTGATCAGAAGAAGATGGACCCTCACACAGTGTGTCAAAAGCGGAAAGGAACGTTATGTAAAAGCTGACATTCCTTCTTACAGAGCTGCTGCCCAGAGAAGGAAGCAACAACTCAACACGCCAGGCACCGCTACACATACAAGCCGCCTCCTCTTTTTTATGAGGTCATGACAGGAAACTCTTTGAAATACAAGATGCAGCATTTACTGAAGCCCAAATAAATCACTCTCTTTGCCGTTTTGACTGCGCAGTCCCCCGAAACACAACTGCCCATCTCAACGTACAGTATCCAGGAACTGCTTCTCGAGCTTTAAATTTCCAGCACGGAAATGGAGATTCCTAACCCCACTGCATCCACCTCCAGCCCCACGAAACCCAGGCACATAGACAAACCCCCTCTCCCTTACAAAACAAAACAAAACAAAACAAAACAAAAAAACAAAAAACCAAAAAACAAAAAAAAAAACCCCTTTTCTGCCAATATGGTCTCATGTAATATAACCTCTTTCAGCAAACCAGCAATTATTTCAGCCCACCTCCCCTCTCTACCACCCCCTCCTTTATGTTGAAGGGAAAACTGACAATGACCTGTTAAAAATGACAACCTATTTTCCCACTGCTTTTCAATAAAAGGACCTACCGGCACTCTCTACACAAAAGAGATAGTAAATGTAGGAACCAAACAGCAGCAGAGAACTAAACTCTTGTGCAAGCATAAGACTGGTCAAGGTGTAGATGCTTTTCTTCCCTCCAGCAACACAAACAACAGATTATAAATCTAGTCATACCTACCATAACCATTCTTATTGGCAAATATTGGGTCTCGCAGAGCTTCGACTCTTCTCTTAAAATTTGCAAAGCTTTCAGGATATATTTTTTAAATGACTACTATTGTTATATATATTTAAGGATCCACAAAACACAGTGTGGATGATTGTAAAGTAAATCAATTATTTGGGGGGAGGGGACGGGGGGGAGAGAAAGAAAAAAAAAAGAAAGAAAAGGAGCAGTGAGCTGAAACCCCCGATTCTAGGATGTAGATAAGAACAACTGAACAGAGCCTTGCTGAAATTGGCTCGAAGCTTCCCCTTTTTACATCCATTTATGGGACCATCTGTCAGCCAAAGCCAGGATCTGATTGGCTGGGGAAACGAAGGGAGGCGTTGCAACATCAGGTGCTATTTAAATTAGCTACTGCCAGATTGACGATGTTAATGATTTGGTGACCTCTACAACAACAGAGACCAGATTTCTGAACTGCTTCTTGTGTCTGGTAATTAAGGCCAGGCTGAAGCAACAACAGCCATGCTTGTATTTTTACCTTTTCCCTCCTCCTAGCTCAAAAGTAATGTAACAACTGCAGGTCACCCGCTGGCCGCTTGCAAACCTTACCAGTGGGAGTGTCCTCCCTTTCCCCTGTCCTGAAGGCTGCACCACCAAACCCCTTTGACAGTACAGCATATTTCCAGTATAGCATATTTTCAGCCACCTTATCTTTCTCGACAGTTGCTTTCTAGCGAAATGCATATTTAATGATCTGCCTCTAGGCTTAAAGATACAACAAAAGCACTTTAATGTGCTAATACATCTACATTTTAACTTTATTATTTCCTAATATTGCTGATTTTTAGTAAGCAATGCTCCTTCTGCAGCTACCATGGCCAGCGTTTTAAGAGACAGCAAGTTTGAGATTGTGTTTGCTCTGCGAACTGGGTTCCTACAAGTTTGCTTCAGAAAACTACTTCTTAATAAACAACAACAACAAAAAAACCAGAGGGATATGGGGGCAGCTGTCAGCCTCTACCTTTCTGCCTTCTGTCTGAGCTTTTCAAAACAAAGAATGATGAATGATTTATTTAAATGAATTTATTTCTCAACTTGGATAGGGGCATGATCTGAATTTTTAAAATCCACTAAAACACATTTTTTTCTTTGCTTCCCCACTGCTATATAGAATGGTAAAGCATGCTTTTAACAACAGCATCATTTCATGACCAGTGCAGAGTGCTCATCTTGCTGGACTGAACACGTGATTTTGCTTCTGTCTTTCAAAAGATGTCTTTTTTCTTTGGCCTCTTAAAAGACTTGAAAAGAGACATTTAGCAAGGGTGCGGTGATGTATAGTTTGTCCGCCTATGTTATACATTTCATAACCTCCACGATACCAGTCTTCAGTAGTATAGTAATTTGTCCTGGTTTGGGTTTTAAAGTGGCTTACCTGAGGAGTTTTTGCTTTACTTCTATCCAAAAAGCTAACTTATTGCTATTTTTTTAACTCATAATTTAGTCAATTTGTTCCTCAACGAACACGTAGAGGTAACAAATACTACTAAAGAAATATTTCAACGTAATTTTAAGTCTTTGGCTGGAGTTGACAGTGAGATGGGACTGGGCAGTATAGAAATATAGACTGAAAATCATGCCATACTCTGGGCTTCAAGTGCAAGAATATACATATCTGTGAAAAATGATTAGGAAAGAAAATGACCTTTACATTAAAAAAAAAAAATTAAAACTGTTCTCTCCCAGCTACTATTTCACGAACACACACACAACACAAATATACATAGATATGCACGCTTTTAAAAATACAGATACACCACAAAACAATATGTGTTAGGTACACTATGTGGAGAATTAGACTTGAATATAAATACATTCAGCTGTTAGAAATAACAATCCATGAAATAGAAAAGTAGAAATGTTAAAACTATAACCCCTTCAAGTGGAACAAGACTGAATTAAGTAAACTTTTAAAATAATTTCTCCAGCAAATATGTAAAAGTCCTACAAGTCACAATAATACTACAGTATCTGTTGAACTGTGTTCTAGGGACGAATTCAGAGGTTAAGTGTTCTAAAGAGCTCAACATACAGACACAGGGCAGGTACAGGTGCCCCAAATCAGTAACAGAAACTCTGAGTGTGAGCTCCCCATTACAGAAATATTGTGAGAAGAAAACCATGAACACAATGCTGACAAACACATAAATGAAAACAGCTCACTCCAGAAGAAAATATTTACTTTGTACTTCTCTGGAGGTTAGAAATGTCAGAATTTCTTAAAACCATTCTCCCCCACCCACACTAATCTCAGCATTACTTAGTGAGCCATTAATTACCATTAGGTATATCAAAAGATGTTCTGGCCACTCTTCTGAAACAGAAACTATATATTACAGTATAAATAATTAGCTAGTTTTGCCAGGTTAAAAAAAATCCATGCACTTTGTATATTGATCACTTCTCCAAAAAAACCACTCTAAAGTCTTTCAACGGAATCCTCAAACAAATGCACAAATGTCCTCAGAGGCCTTTTCTCTAAAGACAAAGGCAGAATCCTATTGTTGGGAAAAGTCAACCTTATTATTGCATTTCCAATAGTACCATTCATCTTTCAGAGTGAGGGGCTGACCGCTCCATCAGTGGTGTGACATTTGTAAAGCAACAGATTCTCAATATATTATCTCAAGAATCAGGCAGGCGAGTCTCCCAGTCATGCATGATTTTTTTTTTCTTTCTGCCACAATCCTCCACCACCACAGAAAGAAACTTGTCTCACTCGGGCAGCTCAGGCAACCTAAAAATGATATCCCAGAGCTGTGGGGCTGCTAGCGCCGCTGTATCCCTCTTACCATAAATGAGCAGTTTCTTGACTCATTAATAACAATTTCCCTTTAAAAAAGGAATCTCATATCACTCAGCCCCTTGCCACCATGCACACATCCCAAAGGTTGCGGACATGTCAGCATCAGTCGCCGGCAGCCAGCTTTCCCACACAGAGTCCAGATGGACTGTACCAGAAGCCAATTCAGCGTTAATAACTACCTACTCCGCGCAGTGGAGAAGCCTTACGTGGCACAATGGGCTAGGAAACAGCAGCCGGCTGAAACTGCAAATAAAGAAGACAAACCAAATTCTCCAAAAACACCAAAAGGAAGGAACAGAAAGGGAAGCGTGAACTGTATTCCTTGACTTCCTTGAGAAGAAAAAGAAAAAAAAAAGAAAAAAAGAGGAAAAAAGAAAAAAGAAAAAGAATCCTTCATAAACATAGGGGGAAAGAATGGGGGGGGGGTTGGAAAACAGATGCTGCCCAGAAAAAAGTGACAAAATATTACCTCATTATTTAACAAAGCAGCATTAAGCGTCCTGCTGATTTCAAACATCTTGCCACAGATTTTGTTTTAAGAGAAACAGATAGAATCCTTTGCAAAGCACTCCGTCTGCAAAGGGTTCTTCAATTTTCTTGCGCGCCACGGAACAGTCAATATATTATTTCCCTAGAGTTCGCACATTAAAACCTCTAGTCAGTGAGCTGAATTTTCCCCTTATCTCACACACAGTAGACTCCTGTTATATGTACTGCTCTCTTTGCAAGAGCAGCCTGCCCCAAACATGGCTGGTGTTTAAACTACTCTTTAAAGTAACAGTTCACTATATAACCACCAGGTGGGTAGAGTGCACAGATTCAAATGAACCATCTTAAAGGATTGTGTTGTTGTTTTTTTCCCCCCTTTTAGGTGTAGAATGTAACACGAGAAACGCCAGCATCCTAACAGGCATCGTGTCTTGTATCTCTCTGTATCTTGTCAAAATAAATAAATAAAATTCCTTCTCCTGACTTATAGCGAGGAAACAAAACACCATCACCAATTCTAATAAGAACTGTGAAGAATGAAACACAAACACGCTTTGTTTCTTTCAGCAAAGGATGAACAAGGAAAATCCAATCAACACAGAGCAAGGCGGGGGGGTGGGGGTACCAAAAACTCCATGGGAATATTTTCCTTTAGCAAAAAGAGAAAAATACCGACTCACGTGATAAAAACCTAATTCAAAAGTAAATATATAGACGAAGCACATTCAAAATGGAGGCAAGAGTTTAAGGGTGTAACTTTTCTCCTGAGTAAAGCGTTAGGTTTATTTGATAGGGTCTTTCATGATAGGAAATAACTCAACAGCTTTTTAAACATAAAGACACTGAAAACAAAAACAAAAGCATAATCTTAAGCATCTCTTTTAAAAATACAATTATATGAATAGCTATAAACAACCACAAGAGCAAAGTAATCATATATCTCTCCCCAGTCCTGTTCTTTTTCCTTAAGATCTGCCTCAAAGTGGAACATTTCTGTCCTGTGTTATTTTGGGTATAAAGCTAACTTAGTGTCTCCTTTGTACAATTCTATTCCAATTAATCTGCCTCTTGCTAGGAATAAATAGAATGTCCCAAGCTGAAAGCCCCAAGTGATGGAGGGTGGATGTTCAAAGATAAAGAACCACCTGGACAAAAATAAATCTCATCACTTACATTGTTCTATGGCCTGATTTTAAGGAGGATTTTATTACAGAGCGTGCATTCACTATTCTATGTTCCCTCGTATCTAAAAGAGAAACCAACACACAGATACC